GAAAGATTAGGACTTCCTGCAAAAGTAGTGCTTGGATATCAGTCCCATGCAGATACGGCTACTAAGAGCGGCTCCACCACCAAGAATAGATTTGTTGTTTAAGAAGACGCCTTCTGAGTATTTTTTTCATAGGAGACTGCGTCAAGCAATCGCGACTTGGGAGCTGTACCAAAGCCTCTACAAAAGCAGAGTGGACTGCATTCAGATTTGATTTCCACCTCCAATATTGCTAAGAATTGTGAAAAGTCATTCGCCTTTTTGTCTTGTGCTAATGTTCAAATTCCCTCACATTTTTTTTTTTTTAATATTTTTTTTTTTCTTTGTAAGAATAAGTTATCCAATCATAACATTTCAACACCCTTCCTCCCAGTAGCCGCAGTGGTTGCCCAGGTTATTTCTGTAATAGTTTTTTTTGGTTAACTACTATTACAGAAATATTTATCCAAAATGTGCACTCGCATAATCCACCTTTAAAGAAACCTTTACATTTTGCATTGTATGCAGTTACAATAGTTTGCTAATCTTGCAAGGCGGAGGATTAAAATGCATTCAAACTTCTCTAGCGATTCATGGTTTGTTTTTATTTTATTTCCCCCCCCCCTTATTTTAACAGCATTGTTCTGGCTGTATTTTGTGCTGATGTTGGCTGCTAGGTTTAATTTATTTGTTTCCCTCCTTGATAACATTAGTAGTAATAAACAGTGTACAAAACTGTAAATAAACGTGTACAGTGAATTGTCTTTTAGACAACTAGATTTGTCTGTTTTTTTTTTTTTTTTTTTTTCTTCACCTTACCCAAGAGGAAATGTTCTGCTCCCTTTAGTGTGGCAAAAGTGTGCAGCATTGGAACCTACTCACTGAAGAGTTGTGAACTTGGACTACAGAGTGGTTAATGTTGGTTATTTTTTTTCTTCCAGTTAAATTGCTCTTTTTCATATATTCTATAGGAAGATACGTTTTTATGTGGCATGCAAAAATGTAACTTATTTTTGTTTATATGGCAATGCCTGGAAATGCATTGTAATTTTGGCTTTGGGAGTAGCAAAACTTGAAACCAGTTTTCAGGACAGTGCTTCTGCAAATGAAAGGGCGATGTTAAAGTGACACTGAACTCGACTCACTTCCTTGATGGACTACAATCTTAATACAAATAAACTAAACACGAGATTGTAGTCCATCATGGGAGTGAGCTTGGTGCGGTTGCTACTTTCCAACACAAACTGGGACCATGGGGAACAAAAGTAGTCACCCTCCAGAAGGAAGGACAGTGTCAGTACTAATTCAGACATGATTTGAGGATCTACAGCCGAGTGATACACAAATAAGATACATTTTTGTTGTTAAGGTATTTGAATGCATTTTAAGATATAACTCCTGAGTTTCATGTCACTTTAAATTACTTCTTTGTCAGTAGCACATTGCGTAATCCTGCTCTTTGTACCAGAGGTAAAATTGTTCAAAAGTACACAGTATTATTGCTCAAAGTGGAATTTCATACGTCTCCCAGTGAAACAAGCACTCTCCCTCCATTCCTGTCTAACATGTTGCAGTAGGTGCAGCTAGACATGCCATTGTGAAATATGTGGGAAAAAGTATGATTTGTTTTTTTTTCTGCAAACAAAAAAGGCTAGGTGCCTGTTCATTCCCCATCCTTTGCTTGTTTATTTCCTGTATTACGTTGGTTCAAGAAGTCTTGTTCATGTAGCATTTCATTCTGTAGTTCATTGATCCCCTCCAGAACTTTGAGCCACACTTCAGTACCTGCTTCCTCACAATGTTTTCAGCCTTGTAGCTTTTCCTAAGCCTTCAGTTATACCCTTTTAAATGCACACTATGCTAACAGTAAGGCTGGGTTCACACCTGGGCGTACGGAATATGCGCGTTTGCACCGCGATTTGCGGTAAAAGAACGAGGGCTATCCGGCTGTATGCTAATGGATATGCGTGGAAAATACGCCCCAAAGAAGCTCCTTTACTTTGGGCGCAGTGTGTTTTTCAGCGCCTTCGCCCGGGTGGGAACCATGCCCATAGGCAATTATTGGTTTTCACATGCTGAGTGTTTAACAGTGTGTCGATCAGCGCTGTAAAATACTCAGGTGTGAACCAGGCCTATAGGTTCTAACCCATAATTCAGCCATATAGAATCATTTATCCACCTGCGATTAATTCACTGTCCAGAAAGACAGATTACAGTGGGTCTAGTATGTACTTTTATTAACAGGAAGTGTTTTTCTAATCACTCTTCCTTGATTTGTCCACATTTCTTTTTAGACAGTGATGACATTTATCTAAATGAAAGCTGATTGGTGTTTTACTTTGGTATACTAAATTAACCTTAGAAATTGCTGATACCTTCACAGTAATGAACTGAAGTCCCATTTGGTTTCACATTGATTCTTTAAACTGCTGCCACTGTTGCTTTGGGAGTGAGACATGTATAACCCAGGAATGGGCTTCCACATGGTTAAATGTTTGCATTGTAGGGCTTCACAGGGATCCTGTTTTTTTGCTTTGTATTTATCTCCTGGAATAGCTGGCTTTTTTTTGTGGTGACTGGAAGCCACAGAAAGTCCTTTAAAGGAGAACTATGAGATGTATGATTTCCACTCGCCTCATAGTTCTAGCCGACCTGTGACAATGAGACTGTCACAGGTCGGCTCAGTAGATCGGGAGGTGAGCGAACACATACCGGGTTAGCTCACTTCTCGATCCTGTCCATGGCTCTCTGGCGTGACAGGGGGAGGGGCTGGATTCCCCTCTCCCCGCTCCGATCTGCCAGCGCTGACTGGCAGAACGGATGGGGGAGGGGGTGGGTACAGCTGGCTCTGCCTCCAGATAGGCAGAGCCAGCTGTCACTCACGCAGCTGGGCGCATCTCGATGTCGGCCTCCGCTCCGGCGTCTCAGTATACCGCGAGCTGCAGCTCGCGGTATACTGAGCTTAGGGTGACGGGAGGACGCTAGTTTGTGTCCTCCCGTTACCCTAAGGAAAAGCCCTGACCCCATAGTTCTCCTTTTTAAGGGTCTTGATGTAATCTACATCAATCAATGGGTTTGTTTTTGCTACTAACAAGGCAGGATGATGTTATGAAAAGGTATAATATGTACTTTGGAAAAAAATGTAGACCAGCACTTTTCTTATAGTTATTTTAATGAAATGCTTATCTCAATAGTTCTTGAATTCTAACACCTAATGCTTATATCCTAGGATTTAAATGATGGTGGATGAGCTGTGGTGGCATCAGACATTTACTGACTTGTTTAGAGGATTTGTGAGATCAGGTTTGCTTAAATAAACTAATAGCCATCTTTAAAAGGGGTAGGCAAACTCTGGGCCTCCAGCTGTGGTGAAACTACACATCCCAACATGTCTACACATCACCACATCCTTTCGGTGTCTTGTCTGTGGCTGTCAGTCTTGCAGTGCCTAGTGGGATTTGTGGTTGTACCACAGGTGCAGGTCTGGTGTTTGCCAATCCTTGATCTATACCCTTTTGGGGGAGGAAGTACTCATACGATGATCAGTAGGTCTGAACTGGGTACTTGATATACAAACATGCCACTCAAATCTTGGGATGCTTTACACTGCTTGAATTGTTTTAGTACTAGATACCGTGTTTCCCTGAAAATAAGACAGTCTTTTTTATATTTTTTTTTGCTTCAAATAAACACACTAGGTCTTATTTTTGGGGTAGGTCTTATATTTTAGCAATTCCCAAAAATAGTACTAGGTCTTATTTTCGGGGTAGGTCTTATTTTCAGGGAAAACGGGGTACTAGACTAATAGTCGCTTGCAAAAATGTTTCCTATTTTGTTGCATTACCACTTGGAAATAAAGTGCATTTTTATTTGGATTACATGTAATTGACATACACAAGACTGAAATTAAGAAAACTTTTTAACTTAAGAAAAAAAAAAGAAATATGAAAAAGTGGTGAGTGTATATGTATCCCCTCCTTTGCTATGAAGCACATACATAAGAGCTGGTACAACCAGTTACCTTCAGAAGTCACATCATTAGATTACACACAGGTGCTCTTTAACCCCTTCATGACAGGCCCTTTTTTCATTTTTTGCACCCATGTTATATTCCACATTTTAGGCAATCACGTGCACTCAGTATATATTCACCTGTTGTGAAAGGCCCCAGAGTTTGGAGAGCTCCTTGCTCAGTGGTGTTGCAAACAGGTCAGGGACAAAGGAGAAAGTTGTGAAGTACAGATCAGGGTTGGGTTATTAAAAAATGGAAAGAATTTGGCACCACAAGAGGACTGCCCACCAAAACTCAGACCAGGAAAGGAGGGCATTAATCAAAGAACCCTGAGGGAGCTACAAAGCGCTGCAGTGGAGATTAAAGTGTCTGTCCATAGGACCACTTTAAGCTGTACACTTCAAGGAGCTGGCCTTCATGGAAGAGTGTTTGCTTTTTGCCAAAAGTCATGTGGGAGATTCCCCAAACATGGAAGAGGTATTATGGTCAGATGAGTCTAAAATTGAGCCTTTTGGCCTTCGATGAAAATGCTAGTCTGGAGCAAACCCAAGACCTCTCATCAAGCCGAAAACACTATCCCCACACTGAAGCATGGTGGTGGCAGCAGCATCATGCTGTGGGGATGGTTTTTCATCATTAGGAACTGGCCAAAATGTAAGGAATGATGATGGCCCTAAATACAGGGTAATTCTGTTTGTCTGCTAGAGATCTGAGACTGGGGGAGGTTCACCCTCCAGCAGAACAATAACCCTAAGCATCATTTCAGTTCTTTAAGGGGAACAATTTCAATGTCAATGTAAAACATTTTAAAAAGACGCTACTGCTGGAGCAGGCATACCAATTCAAATGTGACACCTTCAAAGTGGTGAAGATAAATTGTGAAAAAAGTGAAATTAAGGGTAACCTCCAGTGTGAGAGAACAGAACTGGGACATGGTGCAGGAAATAAGGCCTAGTGCCATACACCCCTCCCCCCTATTTTGTAAAGCGCTGCGCAAACTGTTGGCGCTATATAAATCCTGTATAATAATCATTTGGGAAGTTTCCTTTCAAAGCAAAATGTTTATAGATTAAATGATAGTGAT